TCCGGGGTACTCCGCCGACATCCGTTCCGGCTTTGCCTCCGATACACCATGGCCGTCCTCTCCAACAACCTGAACGTGTGCTGCGCTCGGAGCTTCGCCGCGGCGTGTGGCATGTCCTCGTCGCATGGTCCGGCATGTCGGCCTCGGAGGCCACCTGGGAGCCTGTTCCGGCGTTCCGTGAAGCTCACCCCTCCTTCCAGCTCGCGGACGAGCTGTTCCCCGAGGGGGGGAGAGATGTTATGGTCGGTACCACATATGAGCGCAGGGACAGGCGGCAAAGTGGCTGAACCAGCCAGTGAGCGGTCACCACGCTGGCCTTGCCAGGGTCGGTCTCTTTTGAGTTATAGAAGATTTGGGTTGGTTAGGAAAGAGTCAACTGATTGTTAAGTTTCCTATTTGTTAGCATAAGTTGTTAGAGTCCTCAATGTATAAGTATCAAACTTTGAGATCAATACGGACTAGCCTGGGATTGTGTCTTTCTTGACACCCTTGGGCGCCTGGCGCCTCCCCCGTTCTCTCCTTCCTGCATAAACCCTAGCCGCCAGTCACGGCTCCAACTCGACGCAAGCCCCAGAGCCCTCGCATCCCTCATTCCCCTCCATACGCCCTGAGAAGCAAGGACCGACCCCGTACCACAAGTTTTCTAATTACCAACAGAAAAATTGTTGAGGATCATTTTCCGCTGATAATCTACCTGGCTCATTGCATCTTGTTGAATCTCGTATTCTGGTTCCATCAAATTGATGAGATGTCTTGCTGTCAACATCTTAATACATTTTAAAACAAGAACAAAAAATGCTAAAACATAACCATTCAAAGAGTTTACTGATGATGGAATTTTAGTTCATTTAGTGCTAACACAAGTTACCATCTTCACATTTATTGGAGTTCTATCCTGTTGCTTCCACACCTGCATTACTATGTAGAGTAAAATTATCTTATCATGTTACGTATATTCACATAATCACATGGTTTTCATCTCAGGGTTTACAATGCCTTGAGGGCAGCTGTCGGTGGTTGGGCCTTGATAATTTGCTCCTTTTTTTACTTCCAGTTCTTTCTTATTTGATATCCTAGAATCCTTGGTGTCAAAGTTTTTAAAGTTTGACCATTGATAGGTCTGAAAATATCAACATTGATTATATGAGAATGATGTGGCTTATGGTTAGGTTTGTCTTCAGGAATGCTTCAAAAGTTTAGATTTATTAGCATATATAGTAATATAGTGATCAAAAGAAAGTAGTCAAAGTGATGTCTTAAAAAACAATAAAAAAAACCACAAGATGGCGATAAAGGGTCAAATAGGAAACCAGAAAGTATTTTGTGAACTTGAATTTCTCCTTCTAGACGCATTCTAAGAGTAAAAGGTTGGTCCAGCGTTGAATCTTCATTTTGGATGTAGGCTCCCCTGTCCTTCCTATTTTTTTGTTACCAAACTTTGATACATCAACCTCAACTCATCGTTTGTTATGCTGCTGTGGTTCCAGAAGGTTCAGAGTGCTTTGGTATCATGGTTTTTTTATCTTTAGAGGAAAGGAAATCAATACTGGATGTCTGGATCATCCTGTTTCGTCAGTTTCTTGCTCTCCAGCCTTTTTCATTTTGCTCCTCTGTTACCTCAAATTTTTATATTGTATACTCCAGTACGACTGGTTATCCTTGAATTTGTTCCACAATAATACCATATACCATATTACATTTACATGTACTTGAGTACTTCTTTTGAGCAAGGCATTCATTGGATCCTCCTTTTTGTGCAGGCTGGGGAATTGCATTGGTCTCTCAGGACTCGTGTTTGCAATTTGATATATTTAACATACTCCCCTCACAAAATTGTAGCAACTTTGATAGAATTGAGTCTCTTATGCTGCAGCTGTTGAGCATATCTTATTTTGGTGAAGTTGAACGAGTTTGTTTGCAATGTGCTTTGATCTTTCAACAACAACAACAACAAAGCCTTTAAGTCCCAAACAAGTTGGGGTAGGCTATGCTTTGATCTTTCAATTCTGTAGAATTTTCAGGAACAAACTTGTAAATCCTCCATGTGCCCAGTTTTTCAGTTGACATGCTAGATTTCTGAATGCAGTTGCTATCTTCTGGTCTCATAAATAATGGTACTCTCGTCACATATGCTGGAACCAGGAAGCATCACATCATGTCCAACCACCCTAGAGTACTACAGTGCTGGGTGCTGCTCAACTAATGGCTGTGGTACTTCGGGGGTGTTTGGTTCTTTAGTCGCTCTTAAAATTCATGTTACATCGAATGTTTAGATACTAATAAGGAGCATTAAATATAGATTAATTACAAAACCAATTACATAGATGGAGGCTAATTTGCGAGACGATTTTTTTAAGCCTAATTAATCTGTCATTAGCACATTTTTACTGTAGCACCACGTTGTCAAATCATGGACTAATTAGGCTTAAAAGATTCGTCTCGCAAATTAGTCGCAAGTTATGCAATTAGTTTCGTAATTAATCTATATTTAATACACTATGTATGTGTCCAAACATTCGATGTGACAGGAATTTTAGGAGTTCCTGTAGAAACCAAACATGCCCTTCTTTTTCTCATGTGCACCTTGGACCATGCATGGACCGCCTTTAGATCGAATGGCGGTGACCACAAGAGGTAATCTAATCTTATGTTCTCCATCTCTGCAGAAATGGTTAATTGTAAACTGTTTCATTTACTCTGAGTGACCTGCAGGCAGTTTCACAAGAGAGAACTGCCTCCGTGCATAGTTGATGGCTCGACGCCCTAAATGGGAGGAAAGTGTTAAATGGGAGGAAAGTGTGGTTGAAGTCTCCAAACTTCGGTAAGACAAGCTTGGCCACTTGTTGGCATAGTTGAGTTGCCTACCTGCCTGGACCAGAGGCTTCAACGAGCGTGTCAACTGTCAACTCTGCCATGTGAATTCCTCTGTTTCCTGACCAGTCCTTGGACCCAGAAGGACATTGGCTCTTCAATTATCTTAATGAATTGTGATGGCATTTCGGTTCGTTGCAATTATCCCTTTGTTTCACAAAGCTGGAGCAGCGCACTGAAGCCGTGAATGTGGGTTGTTGTCTAGCGAAGGCAATGGTTCGCTGAATTCCTGTAGTGTTGGGCCGTCCAATAATCATGATGCCAGTGAGGCATTGGGGATGCCTGGAAAAAAAAATACACTGGATTCAACAACAAATTAGAATGAATGTGCATGTGCATGGTTATGTTCTATAAAATACAAAATTCATGGATTTTGCTCATATTCCATGTCTGAATGTCAGATGAGAGCAACAAATAGGCAGCTACGACACTGTCAAGCAAATACTATAATCCCAGTGTTGACAAAGATGGCTAATGTGTGAGGGATATTCATACGATTAATTCATGTGATGGTACTTGAATTAATAATATAGACTCTGTGTGTCAGAGTGTGACCCACATCCGGACCAGATTAGGTCCCTACATCGGTCACATGCTTTGCCAGTTTTTGCTCCCTTGTTCTTTTTCTTATGGAGAAAAGGAACGTTGTGCACTTTCCCTACATTAGTCACATGTGTCTTCTCTTCTTGTAAATTGGTGACACTGTTTTACAAATAAAATAGAGTTAATACGCTATTACAATTATAAGGTCTCCACTAAAAATGTTTCACATAATCTTACAAATCGAACAACAGAAAAAACTACCAAGATTCGAAGGTTGATGGATCTGTGGCATCTTGATCCAGTGTGTTGGACCCATTGGCATCTAGCTTAGCCCTTTTTTTGGCCTTTGATTTGATGAAAAAGCACGAGAGGCCAATACTATTTTTTTTTTTTTTTATTATATAAAATATGTACAGAGAGTTTAGACGGACCGTAAGCCCAAGTAAAGATCCTGAACCGCAAACATCAAAGAATCAAAGAAAGCTGCATATATATATATATATATATATATAGCCTCCACCCGATCAATCCAGAGACCGCATCAGAAATGATGGCGAGGTACAGTGATTAGCTCAGCCCTTAACATGGTGGCGAGGTACATTACGCGTCCGAGGAGTGCTTGTGAAATATATTTATATTTAGTATATGATAAGTATAAATATTTTTTGCACATCTCCTATTCTATAGGCGTCTGAAATTGTGATTGATTGATTTCAGGCATCGTTCTCCCCGTGCCTTTTTAGCCGACTAGTTTGCGGTGGAGATTCGCAGGGCGCTTGACTTCATGTCTGCTGCTAAGTTAAGTGGCCGATGCTTCTGTATGATTAAGTCTAGAAATCGGCGGTTATGGTGTAACCGCCGCTAAGTTAAGCGGCCGATGCTTCTGTATGATTAAGTCTGGAAATCGGTGGTTATGGTGTAAATTAGCATCAAAATTTGTTTTACTGCATTGTAGGTTAAGACTCTTATAAAAAACAGGCTATCCTCTTTCTTTAAGCGCCTCTTTTGCATTGTATGTGGCCTTAGAAAGAGGCTTAGGGGAGGTAGACTGGCCAGACGAAGGAGGCGGACACAGGGGGGTAGGGCAAGGTGGCAAGGTCGCCAACCAAGGTGATGGAGAATGATGGTTGGGCCAGAGAAGAGCGGGGGAGGCATGGGTATGGGCCCGCGATGCTAGGTCAGCAGTGAGTGGGGGCAACTGGGCTAGAAAGTAGACACGGTGCCCAGGAAATCGCCATCACCATGGATGGGGCAGACCGGCGGGAGGTAGAGGCGAGCTAACTGAAGGCTTAAGATGATTATGATGCCATACAATTAGGATCCAACACGACTGCCATTAGTCGCTTGATAGAAGTAAAAAAATCAGGCACCTGCTGACTATTGTATAGTGTTTCCCATATTTTTATATGAGTTTAGTCTTAATTAAGATAGTTTAATTGCTCACCGTCCTGGAATTACATCCTTTAAATCAAGTGTATGGTCCGGATGCTGTCCTGCTGCGCGCCGATCACCAACACGGCCGCAAAGCCAGCCCAAGCGGCCAATCCGTAGCACTCCCGTCCCGTTGCTTGTTTCCACGTGCGACGATGACGCGTGTCACCCCACGGGACGCTCAGTCCGCAGAAGATCCCAACCGCCGTCGTCTCCGGCGTCACGGGGTATCCGAGGCAGGCTCATCGGTCGCCGCGCCACAGGATCGCGGTGGACCCCAGCGGCAGTCCTTCCCATGTCCATGGACCGTGTCCACGGAGCGACCGACCGCGGCGCCAGACTGGCAGAAACTGCCAGTGCAGCACACAGCTCCAGTCAAGACAAGAGAGCGGAGAGAGCTTTCACTGGACTGCAAAGCAAGCTACTGCCGCCACTCCTCGAACCCCTCGCCCTTGTGCCGTGTCCCTCCTCCCAATGGCCGCCGCCTCCTCGGCCCCATCCGAACCCTAGCGCCGCCGCCCACCACCAGCAGCTCGCTCCGCTCCAGATCCCACGCCGCGCCAGGCGCCACATCACACCACATGGCGGCGTCGGACGCGGCGCAGCAGGGCCCGCGCGGCCACCGGAGGCGCGGCGGCAGCGCCACGCGCGTGCGCCCGCGCGCCTGGTGCTGCTCCTTCGGCGGCGCGCCCGACAGCCCCGACCTGCGCCCGCTCCCCTCCTCGGCCGCGTCCCCGGCGGCGGCGAGGCCGGGGAGGAAGCTGCCGCCCAAGTCCCCCTCGTCGGCGGCGACGTCCTTCTACGGCTCGCCGACCTCATCCAGGCTCGCGGGGCTCGGCGGCCTCATCGACCCGCGCCGCATCCTCTCGCCCGGCCGCGTCTCCCCCATCGACCCCGACGCCGGCGCGGTCCCGCCGCCTCCCCTCCCGCTCCCGCTCCCTCCTCCGCCGCCGCCGCCCGCCGTTGGGGACTCGGCGGCTGTGGGCCCCGCGGACCAGCCGGCGGCGGTGCTGCTGGCGTCGGCATTGCCGTCGGCCACGGTGGTGGCCGTAAGGGAGGAGGCGGACGCGGGTGGCGTGCTGGATCTGAGGCTTTTCCTGCGGGGGAGGGACGGGAGGTGCGTCCTCATGGAGCTCGACTCCGGGGTGCTGTGCGGCTGCAGCGACTTCTTCGCCGCCATGGCCCCGCGCGAGGACGCTGCTGGTGCCGGCGCTGGAGGGAAGAGGATGGAGGTGGACGGGGTGGAGAATTTGGATGCTTTCACGGCCGCGGTGGAGCTCATGTACGACCCTCATCCAATGCCGTGTCTTGCAGCTGCCGGCGTGTCGAGGGCCATAGATGTGCTTGAGGTGAGGAAGACGAATTGCAGGCCTCTCTTGTTTGTTAATTCAGTGCTTCTTGTTGATATGGCACCAGTGAGACAGCGTGTGATACTCTGATTCAGTTACTGACCACTCAAATTTCACTGTCTATCAGTGGGGCAATTAAGCGGTGTTGCCAGCAAAATGTTTGTTCCTTCATGGTATTTAGATTAGGTACCCTTTTCTTAATGGCACATTGCCTGGTATTAAGAATGTTGTGCAGTAGCTTTACTATATCGTCCCCTCTCCAGGCTGTGAACAGTTGCAAGTGTTGTTACTTTGTTGGTATAAATAAAGTAATTAGATTAGATGCGTTAAGTATTCTAGGACAACATATCTAACACAGGCTATAGGCATTGTATTTGGTGTTTATCTAGTAATGCTTTCATCAAAAACTGTTACTCCATGCTTTTCTATTCAATTTATGCTAGTTGCCACATTACATGCTTTGTAAATCATGCAGTGTGAATTGCTCCCTCCATCGAAAAATGATTATTTTTTAGTTTAAGTGTGTGCAGTCAAAGTTTTAAAACTCTGACCACTAATGTACATGAAAGTATCAAGATTTATCTCATGAAAATGTTACAAGTAGATTTATGATGAAAAACACTGTCAAATTACTATTTTCAATGGCTTTCCTGAAGACAAACGCTTAAAAAGTAATGGCTCAAGCCATGTATTTGATAGCATGTCCTTTTCCAAAGAACAGAGGCAGAAGTTATTCACTACAGATATAATCTCTTTTCCAACATTACTACTATGGAATGTGGATAAGGTAGTACTAGTATCTCAAGCACTTGAGAATCTAGGCACAAATGTCATGCTCCAGAACAACAACATATGTGTTATTTTCAGATATCCATTATTGTTCTATGGTCCATGGGCCTCTCTAAGTAGCCATTATTGTTTCCAGTATCCATGTAACACCTTTCTAAGGTTAATAGCTTCTAAGTAGCCGTTGTTGTTGCATTGCTATTTCTCTACTACGTAGAACCGCCACAATTTCACTCCTGAATCAGTGCTTTCTACTCTGTCAATGTTACCTGGTGTCTGATTAATTGTGATTAGTCAGGCTAATTGGTCCTAAAGCTTTGACTAGGCACTGGCACTGCAACTCGATTAGAGCAACAAGAATCTAGTCCTATGTTTAGTTGATGGATGACTAGTTGTACATTGTAAGCTGGGCTGCAGGCTGGTCACCGGGCCACTTCGATTCCTTTCTTTTGGCCCAATAGGGTTTCCCTCGCATGCACATCTTCACAACAGAATGGAGGCTGCCCCCTTCCCATATCCATCGCACAGCTGCCAGCCGCTAGGAAGCTCATGTGTCCAGGAAAAGCAGAACTGCAGCACTTTTGGCTGCCACTGCACTGTTCTCTGCCTGCCGTGACCTCCTCCAAGCTGCTGCTGCCTCTCTTCCTTGCGTCCACTGGTCAGCAGATCTCGCGGCACACGGGGGTAGCCACCGGCTCCCCTGGCCACCTCAGGCGGGTTAAGAACTGTCCGGGTTCAGAAGCTGCCGCCACCGGGTCACTGCTCCAACAGTCCAGCTCCAAGGGATTACGAAGATGAGCTTCTCATCAACTTTCACAAGAATTTGCTGCTCTAGTGCTTTTATACTTCTGCTTCTTGATTTATAGTATACACTTTATAGTATATATGCCATAGAATATTCTGGACGACTATATGGTTGACTAGGCCCAACTAGACGGGCTGGTCTTGACTGATTGCAATTAGTCTCCCGGGGACTAAGATCGACTAGATGACCAGATAACATTATCTCTGTATTAGATATATTTCTTAGTTGGATGAGTTTTGTGAACATGCTACATGGTAGCATGATGGCAATGCTTCTTTCATAAGTAATATGTTCTTGTGTAGTCCCTGCCTGAGTTTTGTGTAGTGAATTTGATTGGACTGTAGAGTATTTTGAATGATAATAATCAATATCCAGCGATAGTTTTCAAAATTTACAACTGGTGCTGCTTAAGTCTGAAGTTTTGCAAATACATATCTAAGTTATATACTTGAATTAAATTTGTGTCGAACCATGGAACTATAATTAGAAGGGCACTAGCATCTTTCCTTTTCTATTAACTTCTTTATTCAGGCTACTTAAATGTTGATTACGCTTGACTTTACTAAGCGATGCTCTGTTTTGAAACGTAGGTATGTTCCTCTATCATGTTCAGCAAGGGAATCAAATCATGTTTGACATACATAGAAGCTGTTCCCTGGAATGAGAATGAGGAGGAAAAGCTGAAGAATCTCTTTGCAAGATTCACTTTTGACGAAGCAATATCCCAGGATATACTGGCAAGATTGCGGCCACACAACTGGAAAAACTCAGATGACCTCACTGTACAGCTTATTCAATCTGTCACTAGCAGCACCAGCACTGTGGCCAGAAAAGACATGCAATCTTTGGTAAATGGTCTTCTAAGCAAAAGTTCAGTCTATCAAAAGGACTCGTCAGGGCTAAACAAGGAGAGCCTGTACCAGATCTGTTATTCATGTCTGGAGTCACTGGTTGATCTCTTTGAAGAGGCCAGAGAACCAACAGATTATACAGGTCAGGCTGTGGCAGTTAGAGGGAGTAAACCACTGATTGAGCGAGTCTCTAGGCAAGCAGAGAACCTCAATTGGCTCTTGGAGATTCTAGTAAACAATGATATTGCAGAAGAATTTGTAGAACTGTGGGCGAAGCAAGACAGGCTCATTAGGATGCACGAGCAAGCATCAGCGATGGTCAGGTATGAGCTAAGCCGAATATCAGCTGGTGTGTTCATTGCACTTGGTAAAGGAAAAGTGCAGTGTCGTGGTGACGTACGAAGCCTCCTCTTTCATGGATTTTTCAGCACAATGTTGTTGGATTTTGGCTGGCTTCAGCGCTGCCCTAAAGGTCTAGACCTAAGATCACTGGAGGAGAATTTAGGGCGAGGCCTTCTAACCCTCCCTCTCAGGCAGCAGCAGTGTTTGTTCGAGGAATGGTTCCAGTTCTATGCGACCAAAGGAGCTGAGTGTCCGAACCTTATTAGAGCTTTCCAGGTATGGTGGCGAAGGTCTTTCATTAGATCATTGGTAGAACCTCAAAGCTAAGGTTTTTCTTGATATACTAGTATGTGTTGTGTGTATGATTTGTAAAATTGGAACTGTTGTGATGACCCGTAGAGTTAAATGGTTTTTCTTTTGTAGTTTAGCTCTTCCCATTGTATGTGAATAGCTGGGTGAATTTGTTTGAGGATAGCAGCTGTGATGTGTGGTTTATCGGAGATGGCATATTGGCATGGTTCTTAAATTAATATATGTAACTACATCCGGTCTTATGTCGAACATTTGTATTAGAGACCTCAAATATGAGAGTGTAGTCAAATCTCCGTGGCCCATCCTAAAAAACAGGCCTTCTTGAAGTCCATTTGCAAAAAGCGAAAAATCTCCATGGCCTGGTTCACTCTCCGATGGTTCATTCCGACGGGGGATGCAGCTACCACGCCTGTTTTGTAGTGGCATTTGGTACATGAGGTGCATTACTTCACGGTGGCTTGCACGGAAGCTCCGATGGACGACATGAAAGTCTGCAACTGCTATTATTGTAAATTCGAAATCTAAAGCAAAAGTTCCATTCTCAATGTACCACATTTTCTACAATTATGTAATTCATTCAAAAAAAATATATAGTTCTAATATAAGGTCTCATTTGGCATGACTACGGCTCCTTGCAATGGCAAACATGCATCTAGAAAAACAGCTCCTTGCAAGAAGCCTAGAAGAGCCATGGCCTCCTTTTTTTTTTTATAGAGGAGCTGGAGCCGAAGAAAGTAGTTTCTTCTGGCTCTTTACAAACCTAAATTAAATTATTATATAACTACTATCGGAGTTATTTTGGTCAAACATTTTTTAAAACGACTTTAGCTTCATGTCTTCACTAGAGAAGCTGCTCCACATGCATAAAGGGTACAACAACGTGGACGGGTTGATGTATCTAAATCCTAGGAGCAATACGCACGTGTTACCTCATATTTTCCTCATACATAGAGGTAAAGTGCACATGTGCGTTTACAGGGGATACATGTATGAGTCTACACCTGTATTTACAAAAAAAAAGCAAAGAAGACATACTAGCTACTATCCTTGTTTCACATGGACTGCGTCTTGCTAGTAGCCCATGATGTTAGATTTTAATTAGGCTTGACCCATTTTAATTCAGTTAAAATCAAATAAATGTTAAGACCCATACTAACTGTTAGGTGCATTAAAGTCTTAGTCCCATGCAGAATTTTGACTAAAGGTTAAATCAATTTAAATCTTCAGTGCCCACTGGTTGTGGAGTTGACGGAGAGGAATGATGCGCGCATCCCAGGCCGAGCCGTGGGCATGAATGTGCGAGTAGGCTTGGTCCTACCATGATGTGGTACGGCGCAGGCCAGTTGTATCACTAATAATGCTCTCTCTGTTTTAAATTATAAGTCTGTATTAAGTGTTTTAATACATCTATTTATTATGCATCTAGACAAATATATTATATCTAGACATATGGCAAAATAAATATACCAAAAAAAAAGTTAAGACGGCTTATAATTTAGAACAGATGGAGTAATTAACGGTGCTCGGGCTCGGTCAAAGGAACTGTTAACGGAGTAATTCATGTAGGAATAGTACACTGCCGTTATTATCTATTACATGGAATGACGCTGAGTGACACCTTTTGAAAAAAAGGTAAGGCTGCTTATTGGTCATCCGTCCATCCGGACGGACCCGTATAAGTCGCCCGCGCCACCCCCTCGTGCGTTGCCTGCTCGCTTAGCGCGTCTCTACTCTAGGACAGACCCCGCCCTCGGCCGCGCCACCCGCGCCGCGTGCCCCTGTCCGGAGTCGTGCCTCCCGTCACGGCCGCACTCCATCCACCTGCCCCTACCCCCCGAGGTCCATGCCGCCGCCGAGCTCCACACCTGCGACCTCCTGCCACTCCGCGACATAGAGCTACACGTCGACGAGCCTCCATTCGTCCAAGTAGCAAGCATGATGCTACGTAAAAGCACATGTTGCAATAATATATTTTAAGTGTTTCATATGTTTCAGAGGTATGTTGTAAGTGTTGTATATCAATATTGCAAAAGTAGATCGGGATGCTGCATATGTTGTAATGACTATACACGTATGTTTCAAGTGTATGTTCCAAATGTTTCATCTGTTCCAGACGAATGTTGTAAGTGTTTTATCTAGATGTTGCAAAGGTAGATCTGGATGTTGCATATACCTACATGTTGCAAGTGTTTTCAGGTGTTTCATATGTATGTTTACAAGTGTTTTATCTAGGTGTTGCATATGTTTGCAATGGTTTTTAAATGTTTTTCAGGTGTTTTCACAAATGTTTCAGACGTTTGTTTCAAGTGTTTCATTTGTTTTCTTTTGTATGATGCAACTGTTGCATCTGGATGTTTCTAAAGTAGATCGGGTGTTGCACATGGGATGCACGTGGAAAGTGGCTGGTGGCGCGGACAATGTTCGGGGCAGCGTGGGCCCACTGCTGCTGCGCTCCCTCGCGAGCCCGACGCGCTACACGCTCGTTTGCTCTCTCTGCGCGGCAACGTCCAGGACACTAGCAAGTCCGTTTGAAAAAAATCATCCTAGAGCGCACCTGTGCCCAGGTAAAATGTGTCGTGATTTTCTCGACGAGGTGAAATTTGCAGAAAATAAGCATATAAGAGGAATCTCGAAAGGTCGCCCGACCATCCAATTGGGCCAAATCGGCTTAACTTTGGACACGTGCAAGAAAACGCATGAAATGCATCTACGCTTAACAGTATTTGCTCTGTTGTTTTTTCTCAATAAATAAAACCAGTGGGCAGCTCCCCATCCCGTTTGGTTTAAAAAAAGTGCATATTTTATTTATATTTACAAAGAGAAATTTTACCGTGCTTGGAAATAACGAAAGCCATCTGTTTGGTTAAATTGGATGGTTAAGAAACATGAGGAACCAACTAAGAGAAACTTATGCCGTGGGTTGTTAAAATTTAGTGGATTTAGAACCAGCTCTAATTAAATCGAGGAGGATAAAATGGTACTCTCTCGTAGCAACGATATTACGCTCGTTCGACCGTATCCGATAACTTGACAACTCCAGCCTGCGGTGGATTAATTCACTTGCCATGGATAGGAAAATCTGTCTTCTTGACATGCGACGTTGCGGGCATAGTGGGTTTGGCTAATGCCTCCGAAAGCCACGCAAGAGTGCAAGCAGATTGGGGTGTCCGGATCCACAGTCGGCCAGGGGTACTCTACCTACTCGGCTGCACACGGATGAAGCGCGCAGCCCAGAGGAAGTGTATGAGGGAGGTAGCGGTGGATCAGATAGATAGGGTAGAAGCGCGAGGCGGGCCAATTTCCGACGAGGCCCTGGGGGCCGACCACTGGGCGGATGGGTGCTCCGGTCCTGTCTCGCAACGCACGCCCTCTTCTTCTCTCAACTCTCATGTCTCCTGCAGCTCCCTCTCCTAGCGCGGGTAGGCTCCACAGCGTCAACAGCTAGAGACGGCACACGACGCGGCCTGCGCCGCGAGCAGCCTGACAGCCAAGTTTCAGAACCTTCTGCACGCAAATTTTCTGATGATTTCGTGTGGTGGCACTACTCCCATCCGTGAGCAGTATTCCAAGTGGATCTTTAACTCACATTTCCCATTTAATGACCCTTGTATTTCCATCGATAGATTATTAGGAGATAGAAGGGTTCTGAAATTGGTCTGCCTGCGGATTTGTCAAGTGCATGAACTGAGAGCTACGAGGATACTACGATGGTCTGAATGTGCAGGCTGCTCCAGAGTCCCATAGTTGCAACCTACGCCCTGTTCGTTTGGGCTGGCTTGGCTTATAAGTCATGGTTGAAAGTACTGATTGGCTGGTTTAGTGTGAGAGAAAAATACTATTCATTGGTGATAAGCCATGGCTTATAAGCCAGATACGAGCAAGCGAACAGGCTATAGCATGATAAGATTTCAGAAGCCCGGTCTTTATCTGATCAGAATATTGGAAAGAACAAAGTTGACATTCAGAAACATAGTTGCAACATATATGTTACAAAACCTTCATAGGGTGGATACAAAAAAGCAGCAAAAACAAGATTCAAACAAGCAAAACCGTTGGGAACAAGCCGTTCGGCTGCATGTCAGCAACCTGGACTCCACCAAGGCCGCCGCTGCTGGGACTTCGTCAGGCTCGCCCTCCTCGACTCGGCCCAATAGACAGCGCCAGCCCAGCTCAAGATATGCATTGAACAATTGTAACTGAATTCGTATTTCAAATTAAGAACTCCTCCCGTCTCTCTCTCTCGCTCTGCTCCCCTTCTTCTTCCTCCCCAAGTATCATTCCCTCACACTGCAGCAATAAGCTGCTGTTGCTGCAGCTGCAGCTTATTTCTCTCTCTCAGTTTACTGTAGCGGCAGCACCAGTTTCAGGCCCTTTCGTCCCATAACAGTATCAGTGGATTTGCAGGCTTCGTGCAAATCCAGCCCAACCGTAGGCTAATTGCTGTAGGACCTATTTGCCTAAAATCTGAATGAAACCAACCCAACCCATCTGCGGAGTCAATTGACGGTTCTATTAGGTATGGGCTTGGAGCCGGTTTTACTTTAGTGAACCGTAGGCTAATTGCTGCCAGCACTTCATCTAAACAGTATTAAGATTTAAGAGAGAGTCCAGTAGGCAAGCTCCTGCAGTAAAGATGAGCATGCAGCCCGCAGCTCGGTAGCCCTGCACGAAGCCTGATTTTTTGGCACGGCCCAAGTACGGCATGGCCGGGCTTGGGCCGCTGCTCAAGCACGGCGGCCGGCACGGCACGGTCCGGTGTTTTAAGGTAGGCCCGGTGATGGCCCAGTAACCATAGCAGCTGCTAAGAGCCCACAACACCATAGTAGCTAGCTAAGAGCCCACAACACAGCAGCCCCTTCTACACCAACCCTAACTACGTTTCCCTCCCTGCATCCCCATCCCCATCCCCACGCGTCGCACTCCCGGTTCCGCGCTTCGCAGTCGCGACTCGCGACCTCGCCCCTCGCGCCCACCTCCGTGCCTGGCCGCGGACGCCGGACTCCAGCGGCAGCGGCCTCCTCCGTGGCTAAAGGAGAGCACGTCGTCTGCCCGGCCTTGCTCCATCTAGCTCGGTCTTCCACGGCCACTTCCCCCACATGACCCATCGTGGACGCCGGATCCACCTCTGTCCAGCCTGCCTACGCGCGGATCTAATGC